GGGGGGGGGCAATTTTTCAGAGGACCTTCAACCCAATGGATTTCAATAAGTAACCAATACAGTGACAAATTTGGGATGAAAAAATGTCTTTCTCAAAGCTTCATTAAGTTAGGAACAAACCTTACTTGAGCTTTTAAAGGCATAGTTATGAGTGGAGAGGTGTGTGGGGAAAAAACCTTTCTTGAGCTTTTAAAGGCATAGTTATGAGTGGAGAGAGGTGTGTGTGTTTGTTGGGGTGGGGGGGGCTTATATACAGGTACAAACTTGAACAAATAATATTCCCGGTGAACAAGTTTCACAATAGTTTATGTTCTTCATGTACTTTACTACATACTTGTAGCAAGGAAATACAATGTTTCTAAAGTAGCGTAGAATATTTGTTAAGGTGTGTTACAATGGGAATAGTACATTGTTTTTCGTGTCTATACTGGCCAATTTCCCCAAGTATATAAAAATATCATAGTGTGAGATCATTGAAGAAAATCATAGTTTTTACTCAGAAATAGCTGTATGATTCAGCCTAGGGTACCATTGACTTAAACTAATTGATGTTTCTGTTGTAGACAAAGTGGGAGGATTTTACCTGTTACAGGATGACCTTGTGAGGCTCAAGAGGTCATACGCCGACTCCATCTCCAACTGGAACATTAAGTAAGAAATATTTTCATAACATAATCTGTGTGATTAACAGGAACATTATATACTTTTACTATGATTGTTAGTTTTCCTTCCAGATAAAACATGTTATGTAAGTTGATTATCCAAAAGGACTTAGGGCATTTATTGGTCATTTTCTACCTCATATAAAGTAAAAATTTCATTTTATATTTTTTTACTTATTTCTTTTCTAGACACCGTATTGAATTGGTTCATTTGGGCTATCTTTCCTGGTGCAGATTTTTTTCATTGTGCATGCATAGATGCTCCACCATATTAACAAAATTGCATTGCTATGCAGAAGTTAGCATGCAGAAATGTAGGCCTCCGCATGTGGCAATGGCTCATTCCCCGAATACCAACTCTGGAAAATTCAAAGGAAGGTGTTTATATAGGAAATCCTTTGAAGTTAAGTTATAGCCTGTTTCAACTAAGAATGTCAACTCATTTTGTAGATATGATACTAAAGTCAATAATAAAATGGATAGAAAGTTTTTATTCATANTGTATAAATGAAACCAAACTTGGTACAAAAGGTCTTAATTGATGTTGCTTTAGTCATGGCCATATATTGTTATTTCTTTTTTCTGACTAATTTGAAGTCCAAGATGTTGAGCTGCCTTTGATTAGACAATATTTTGTTTTACTTTTCTTGGTCCATCAAATGATTTTAACAAAAACGTTATAGTAAAAATCCTGTCATGTCATTTTATGAATTGATTGAAAGTCTGAGATGGTCATGCTGGCCCTTGATTGTCTGAAATATTCTTTGAAACTCTGGTTATTCCAAACCAACCTTGGTATAGAATTACTGATCCTGTTATTGTTTACTTTACGTATTCCTATTTACTGGGCTGGTTAAGATACCCAGCACGGCCACTCTTACATCTTATAGATAGAGACAGTTAAGCTTAAGCAGGACATAAAAGCTTCAGTAATGAAGGCATGTCCTTACACCAAAGAAGAAGAAAAAAGATTAACTTCAATTCACCTTGATAATATAAAACAAATTTGATATAAAGTCTACGTACTAGCTTTTAAGAAATCTCATCATAAAAGAATTTTAATTAAGATTTACAAAGATCATTTCATTTCTCTAACAACATGTTTGGCCTCTTGTTTTAAATTGACTGTTTGCTATTTTGTCAAAGGCAAATATCTTCTTGTGTTACAGACTACAAGAGCTGTACTCCCAGCACAAGAAAAGACAGCTGGTTCTCACCAAGAAGGAGCGGGAGATGTCCACGCTGCCTACTGATGATGTATGTATCACTGGAATCTCTTTATTTTGTTGATGAATTGCTTCATACATAGAGGTTGGGTGAACACATGGGGGATGTGAGGCGTTGTGGAAGGGAGGTTGGGTGAACACATGGGGGATGTGAGGCGTTGTAGAAGGGAGGTTGAGTGAACACATGGGGGATGTGAGGCGTTGTAGAAGGGAGGTTGTGTGAGCACATGAGGGATGTGAGGCGTTGTAGTAGGGAGGTTGAGTGAACACATGGGGGATGTGAGGCGTTGTGGAAGGGAAGTTGGGTGAGCACATGGGGGATGTGAGGCATTGTGAAAGGGAATTTGGGTGAACACATGGGGGAAGTGAGGCGTTGTGGAAGGGAGTTTGGGTGAACACATGGGGGAAGCGAGGCGTTGTGGAAGGGAGGTTGGGTGAACACATGGGGGATGTGAGGCATTGTGGAAGGGAATTTGGGTGAACACATGGAGGATGTGAGGCATTGTGGAAGGGAAGTTTGGTGAACACATGGAGGATGTGAGGCATTGTGGAAGGGAAGTTGGGTGAACACATGGAGGATGTGAGGCATTGTGGAAAGGGAGGTTTGGTGAACACATGGAGGATGTGAGGCGTTGTGGAAGGGCGGTTGGGTGAACACATGGGGAATGTGAGGCGTTGTGGAAGGGAGGTTGGGTGAACACATGAGGAATACGATGAGTTTTGGAAGTGTTATATGAGGTTGAGACACAAGTGTCTGACAATTAAAACAGATAAGAGATACACTTTCTTGTTTAAAGTCAGGTTGACTAAAATTGAGACAGTTTAACTCAACAAATTATGAAATGAAATTTGAAGTGAATGTTTGTACATACTTTTGTGATCAACTTTGGTGAATATATGCACTGAAGATGATAAATTCAGATTCTTATTAATGTCATACTTATTAATTTTGATAGAGTTCCCAAGCCAAGTATGCCAAGTCGAGCTCGGAGGATGGAAGTTATCCCGGCAACGCCAGCCTCAATGTTGCCATGGACACGAGACCCCCTAGTAACGGCAGTGCTGGAGGAGCTAGGCCATCTACTAATTCTCATGGTAGGAGGATTCAGCTGATTGATATTAGAAAGCATTTAATATGGAAGGGAATGAATTAACTTAAATCCTTATATTTTATATCTTCACTTACGTTTTGTTCCTGTTGTAAACTTTCCTGATGTCACACTGCCATCTGAATGTGTACAGGTTGTATAAGGTCTGATAACACCTGACTATAGCTCAAAGTTTAGCATGTTAATAGTCTGTTTCCAAATCTACATGTGATCTGGTCAAAGGCATGTGCTGACCTGTCTACCTCCAGATTGTACAGTCATCTTTTTATTTACAGACACTATTTCTGTTGTGGTATATTGTAAATTAATATTTTCATTATTGTACATCGTAAGGAATTATTCCTGCCTACATAAAAACAGAGTGCTAGTATTTCATAGGAGACACTATATTTGACACTATATTTGATAGCATTTCTGTTTTTGTGGAAGGCTTTTCACTTGATGTAGTCTTATTCACACAGGTACACAGATTTATTCTGACAAAATACATGAGATATGTACCTGATTTACAATCCTTGGACAGTCAGCTCATAATAGAAATGTACATAATTATAATTATTGTAATTTTGAATTTCTTAGCTTTATTTTTTCTTTAAAACAATATCTTTGTGATAGATTTTTCCAGTGTACATCTATTTCATGCTTAAATTGTTTAACTGTCCTCTTGTTCACTACATTTGGCATTCATTGGTAATATGAATGCCAACTGGACAAAGGCAAATCCAGTTTTCTAATTTTGAATAATTATAATTTAATCTTGCTTGTAACAAGCATTTTCATTGGCTTAAACATTTATGTTATCGGCCCATAACGTAAAAAAAATGACGTCACCGTTTGTAACGTCGCTTTTGTTTGGCTGATACAGCAGCGCAATAATTTCTAAAAGAAAAGAGTCCATCAATAAAAGTGGATTTCCACAGGGATTGTGTAAAGTAGATTAAATTATAAGGATTAACTTGAATGTATTTTTCATGTTATGGAGCTACATGTATAACAAAAAAACACCGGAGTGTACTCTCATCATACACCGCTTCGCAGTTTATTTAGTGTACACTCCGTTTTTTTGTGTTACATCTCCATAACATGAAAATTATATTCAAGTTAATCCTTAGATCATAGTAGATATTCTCTAATATGATTCATACCACTGTATGTTGCCTCCTAATAGCCTGTGGCCATTATGTGTTTGAATATTCCTTTAATTCCATTATTTCCCTTTTGTTTTAGCTCCCTCCGAGCCTGTCCCTATAACAACAAACATCACTGAGACCCGTGAGTATGCTGTACTACTAGGTGTAGTGTTTGTATCGTCCGAGCCTGTCATTAGTCATTATAGAAGCTAACACTACAGAGATATGTATGCGGTACTACTAGGTATAGTGTTTGTATCGTCCGAGTCTGTCATTAGTCATTATAGAAGCTAACACTACAGAGATATGTATGCTGTACTACTAGGTATAGTGTTTGTATCGTCCGAGTCTGTCATTAGTCATTATAGAAGCTAACACTACAGAGATATGTATGCTGTACTACTAGGTATAGTGTTTGTATCGTCCGAGTCTGTCATTAGTCATTATAGAAGCTAACACTACAGAGATATGTATGCTGTACTACTAGGTATAGTGTTTGTATCGTCCGAGTCTGTCATTAGTCATTATAGAAGCTAACACTACAGAGATATGTATGCTGTACTACTAGGTATAGTGTTTGTATCGTCCGAGTCTGTCATTAGTCATTATAGAAGCTAACACTACAGAGATATGTATGCTGTACTACTAGGTATAGTGTTTGTATCGTCCGAGTCTGTCATTAGTCATTATAGAAGCTAACACTACAGAGATATGTATGCTGTACTACTAGGTATAGTGTTTGTATCGTCCGAGTCTGTCATTAGTCATTATAGAAGCTAACACTACAGAGATATGTATGCTGTACTACTAGGTATAGTGTTTGTATCGTCCGAGTCTGTCATTAGTCATTATAGAAGCTAACACTACAGAGATATGTATGCTGTACTACTAGGTATAGTGTTTGTATCGTCCGAGTCTGTCATTAGTCATTATAGAAGCTAACACTACAGAGATATGTATGCTGTACTACTAGGTATAGTGTTTGTATCGTCCGAGTCTGTCATTAGTCATTATAGAAGCTAACACTACAGAGATATGTATGCTGTACTACTAGGTATAGTGTTTGTATCGTCCGAGTCTGTCATTAGTCATTATAGAAGCTAACACTACAGAGATATGTATGCTGTACTACTAGGTATAGTGTTTGTATCGTCCGAGTCTGTCATTAGTCATTATAGAAGCTAACACTACAGAGATATGTATGCTGTACTACTAGGTATAGTGTTTGTATCGTCCGAGTCTGTCATTAGTCATTATAGAAGCTAACACTACAGAGATATGTATGCTGTACTACTAGGTATAGTGTTTGTATCGTCCGAGTCTGTCATTAGTCATTATAGAAGCTAACACTACAGAGATATGTATGCTGTACTACTAGGTATAGTGTTTGTATCGTCCGAGTCTGTCATTAGTCATTATAGAAGCTAACACTACAGAGATATGTATGCTGTACTACTAGGTATAGTGTTTGTATCGTCCGAGTCTGTCATTAGTCATTATAGAAGCTAACACTACAGAGATATGTATGCTGTACTACTAGGTATAGTGTTTGTATCGTCCGAGTCTGTCATTAGTCATTATAGAAGCTAACACTACAGAGATATGTATGCTGTACTACTAGGTATAGTGTTTGTATCGTCCGAGTCTGTCATTAGTCATTATAGAAGCTAACACTACAGAGATATGTATGCTGTACTACTAGGTATAGTGTTTGTATCGTCCGAGTCTGTCATTAGTCATTATAGAAGCTAACACTACAGAGATATGTAGGCTGTACTACTAGGTATAGTGTTTGTATCGTCCGAGCCTGTCATTAGTCATTATAGAAGCTAACACTACAGAGATATGTAGGCTGTACTTCTAGGTATAGTGTTTGTATCGTCCAAGCCTGTCCTTATAGAAGCTAACACTACAGAGATATGTATGCTGTATCATTATGTTTCGTATCTGTTATTAGTTGTCCTGCATCAAAAATTATATTTCACATAACCCTCTCCGGGGATTTCTGAGACTTTTAGTTACTACTTGCATGGAGAATGCTCAAACAGGGTACAGATTTAGATTGCTCTGAAAATATGTTTTATACTATAGTAAGCAAATCAAATTCAAAATGCCAGACATCAACACATTTTAAAGAGTTTGGTATACACGCTTTCAATAAATTGCGCCACCTAGCAGAAGAGTTGTCGCCTTATCAATATAATGTGCATTCAGATACAAATTAAATAATTATATATAAAAAAAATATAATTCTTTCTATGCTATCATTATTTACAGAAGAGTCTGATGTATTTGTTGAGGAAAATACAGGTGAATTTATAATGGTATCCCATCATTTATCTAGTAACCAGAAAGGTATCAAAGTTATCTCCCTTTGTTAATCTGCTTTCATGTACTCAATACAAGCTTGGCTTACTTGTCAATCGCTTTTGAGGATTAAAAGGATAAACTGCTTAATCTAAAATATGTCAACGCATGCCAACTATTGCAGGACTATATACAAATTGGAAATCACTCTAATATTTGTCAGTTCATTTTCAGGGCTTGTTTTAGTTTACCTTTACTGTATAAAGTGTATTTCAGCTTATGTGATGGCACAGCATTTGTCTTCCTTAAGTTATCAACTTCGTCCTATGATATCAATTTTGTCTGAAGTTGTCAACTTTGTCCATAAGTTTTCAACTTCGTCCACAAATTATCAACTATAAGTCGCTGATCTTAAATTTATGAAAATAACCATAGACTGGAGGTCGGATTTTCACCCCCCTGTATTTCTACTTCTTTTTCCGAGACCCCCTGCATCCTTTTTAGGATCTGTCCCTAAACGCTCAGCAATTCAAGAGTGAGACGTCTGGTTCGCCCATTGTCAGTATAATGTGACCAGATGGGGTGTCCTGCCGGTTGTCTTCGGCAGTATGTTTCAGTGAGGTAGCACTATAAAGTCGGCATCAGTTCTGCGCTATCACAAGGAGACAAACACGAACATATCGCAGCCTCCCAAAACACTGCATTACACTACACGCATGCATGTTGCACACAGGGGAGGCCGTCCTTAAATCACCATAGCTGTTGATAGGATGTTAAACAATACAAAAACAAACCAAACCAAACCAAATTATGTTGAGTTAATTGGCATGCGAAGTATCCACATGCAAAGATATATTTATAGATTGTATAGATTCGATTTCATGAACCATTGCCAATATGAAAATTGCCACAACCCAATCTCTTTAAAGAGTCACAACGTGGACTTTCCACATGGGAACATTTTCCACTTTAACAGTATTTTACATGCTGTTTGCTGGAGTAAACAGCTATCTTATACATTCATACGAATGACCTTGACTCACCATAGAGGTTAAATTAATGGTAAACTTTTACATAGCTGCGATTCTTATACATAACATTTGGTAAAGCTAAAACTGTCTGAGTGAAAATGTTCTGTTAAATGAACTTGAAAATAAACCTCCTTTTCATATTAGTGTATTGGTCGAATATCAAAAAATAAAATTGGTTAATAATTAAGGCTTCTGGTCCTAGCTTTTTCACAAATACATATTTTAATGCTCAACACATAACTTACCCTTTGTTGTTTAAATGTTACACATTTCTGCTCAAGATTGCATGTGGCTTCCTGTCATTTTTCTTGCTTTTATTCAGAGCATATAATCCCAATAATGTTCAATGTAACTACTGAATAACCTCTTGTCTTACTAATTTCAATATATACTACCTGTTTAAATGATCATTCCTAATCAGATTTGTCATTCCTTGCAAATAAAATATGATCAGCTGTTTTGATGACTAAATGTTCCAGATACATGTACTGGTATTATGACAATATGTGTCGTTCCATATACATGGCAACCACCTTAACAACAAAAGGCATGTTATATTTATACCTAAAACTAAGCTGCTTGGAATTAGTCGAATCGTTTGTGTGTATATGAACTGGTGTATATAAACTATAGAGATTTCCCCCAATGAAAGATGGTTGGTTGTCATGTTACTAAATGTTAGTTCATTTTCAAATTGTATATTGAGACAAGGTTTGCTTGAGTGTATATTACATTTTGACGTTCATATTATATCTAGAAAACCATAAAATTATGTTTCTTTTAGAAATACGTTTTTCAGTTTCTGATGAGGGAAACACTCGCCATTAATCAAGACATTACAATTGAAGATGATGGCATTTTCACTTGACCTCATAATTCAAAGAATGACTAATGAAACAACATTCAGGGTGTTAGCCACTAGTGGGTGACCAAAAAGTGTACCAACTCCTAGCAGGTTTATCCAATGAGATGTGGGAATGAGGAAACTTCTATTGTTTTGGTAGAAAATTGAATAATTGTAAGGTGACGTGGCCTTGGTGTGAGACTCGAACACGCAACCCTTTGGTCACGAGCCCGGCATCCTACCACTAGACTACCGTGCCTCCTGCACCAGTGTATGAAATATGTGTGACCAATGTATGTGTTAGATAGATGTGAAACTGTACCCAGTGTGATATATGCTTTAGCTGTGGTATGATCTATAAACCAGTGTCTGTATGAACTGTTCCAGAGTACGTGATGAGCCCTACCCCTGGTGTGGCCCTCGGGATATCTCCAGGTATGGCAGCAGGTATTATACAAGACAGCACACCACCTACTAACACAGATCTCAACAGCTCTAACTCTTACATAGTGCTTCAACTCAACAAAGGTATAGTTCAAATCAGGCTGCAAGTTCCTGCTACTCAAACTAACAGCTGTGTTCTTTTAGCCACTATTCCTGAAAGCATGATGCTTCTCAATTTCAGTCCCATGTCGCTCATGGCATGGTGCGTCGTCCGTCCGGCGTCAACTTTTTACTTTAAACAACTTCTTCACAATAACCAAGAGGCCCAGGCTGATGATATTTGGCCAGTAGCATGCTGGGATCAAGGGCTACCAAGTTTGTTCAAATGAATGACTGACCATCTTTCAAGGTCACATGAGTCAAATGTCTTAAAATCTTCAAACAACTTCTCAATAACCAAAAGGTCAAGGGTACTGATATTGGGCCTGTAGCATGCTGGGATGAAGGGCTACCAAGTTTGCTCAAATGAATATTCTTGACCCACTTTCAACCTAATGTCCTTGTTCGACATTCAAGGTCACAGGCGTCATATGTTTAAATCTTTTAATAGGTTCTTATGAATCAAACACTGATATTCTGCCTGTTGCTGTATTTTGGTCGACTTTTAAGATTACAAGTGTGAAATTAATACCAGGTGAGCGATGCAGGCCCATTTGGGCCTCTTGCTATTGTAATCGTATTCCTGTGTTTTGTGTTATCTCTAATCATATACCTGTGTTTTGTGTTAGCCGTTGATTGGCAGATTCATTCCTACCTTCAGAGTTTTTGTTAGCCCTCCTTACTTTCAGTTTTGGCTTAAGACCTGAATGATCAATATTGCTCTCAAAATTCTGACTGGAGTTGTAAAAATGTTTAAACTCCCAATATTAATGATTTGGAAGTAGACAATTACCATACATTAGTATTGGGAGGATGGAAGTAGAACTGACTCTATGAGTATACAAAGTCATGTAATTACGTATACTCATACTTGAAGATTTAAACCACTTTTTTCAAACTAGTTAGTTACATGGGGAAGGAACTTGCTTCTAACACGTTGTCGTCATACTTTCCATGTTTATTGTAGTCACTTAAGTCACAAACGTCGCCATAGACTGAAATTATCTAGGGCTAGCAAATACAAAGTCACATCATCAGACTGAAGTAGAGATAATGTCAGATTTCTTGAACGACAGCTATTTAATAGAGATATTCCTGATTATGAATCATAACATGCTTGTTACTTAACTCGTTCACCCATTGACTTTTATAATGAACTATTCCAACCTTTGAATTGGAAGAGTTCAAATGAGTCTTCAAGGGTGAATAAGTTAATTTAAATGACGTAGCTGGCCCTGGTTGCTCAAAGGTTGATTGGAGTAAATCAGTGGTTAAGGATTTTTTTTAGATCTGAATACAACAAAATCAAGAACATCTGACATCATTTCACTGCTATAGACTTGTTTAGACAGATCAGATTGATGTCCTATGCAGACTTTTTTAGTTCTAAATCCCTTGTTGCTTTAGACTTGTTTAGAAAGATCAGATTGATGTGTGATGAGGATGTTTTTAGCTTTAAATCCCTTGCTGCTATAGACTTGTTTAGACAGATCAGATTGATGTCCAATGAGGGCTTGTTTAGACAGATCAGATTGATGTCCGATGAAGACGTTTTTAGCTTTAAATCCCTTGCTGCGCATGCTATATACTTGTTAAGACAGATCAGATTGATGTGTGATGAGGGCTTGTTTAGACAGATCAGATTGATGTCTAATGAGGACTTTTTTAGCTTTAAAACCCTTGCTGCCTTAGACTTGTTTAGACAGATCAGATTGATGTTCGATGAAGACGTTTTTAGCTTTAAATCCCTTGCTGCTATAGACTTGTTTAGACAGATCAGATTGATGGCCGGTGAGGACTTGTTTAGACAGATCAGATTTATGTCCAATGAGGACTTGTTTAGACAAATCAGATTGATGTCCGATGAGGACTTGTTTACACAGATCAGATTTATGTCCGATGAGGACTTGTTTAGACAGATCAGAGGGATGTCCAATGAGGACTTGTTTAGACAGATCAGATTTATGTCCGATGAGGACTTGTTTATACAGATCAGATTGATGTCCAATGAGGACATTTTTAGCTTTAAATCCCTTGCTGCTTACTGGAAGTCATTTGAATTTTGCACTAACCACTGGTTAAAGGTAACAGGGGCTTCACAGGTATCACTAGAATAGCTTATGTGGTGTAGATGGGTGTTACACAGAAATTCAAAATTCATTCTAATCCTTTCATATGATTTATGATAATAATAGTCTAACATTTGTGTAGCAATTCTTAATATCCTATCAGATAAAGGTAGAATTACAAAGCATTGTCATAGCAGGAAATTCATTATGGAAAAAAAAAAAGTTATTTTGTATCAATAACACAATTACCTTTGTCATTAAATGTGCATGTGCATGTTGAATAATTTAATGTGTATGTTTGAACTGTTTAACTGGCAGTTGAACACGATATGTATGTATACTTATACAGTACTGTATATTTTGTTAAGTGTCTTAGATTCGTTTAATAAACCATACAATGGCTATACCTGTAAAAGCTGTTTTTAAGTCCGCAATTTTTGTAAGTTTGCTAAAATGGGAAATTTTGCAAGATTTATTTTTAGCAGATATAAGGTCTAGTGGTCTTGGCACAATGTGCTGTGATAAGGATTGATTATGCGCAGAATTTACTATGAAATGTGATGGTTGTCTTCTTCACTGAAATTGTGAAAATTAGAGCCCTGCAAAAAGAAACACCCTTTTTAGTACATGTATATAAATGTTATACATTTGTATATCATTGTGATAAATATATATATATATATTATTAGTTACACGGATTTTTGGCAGGGTATACGGAATGGTATGACCCTAAAGGGTTTCGTATTTCCTGAGGCCAATAGGCGGGTACGCATATAACTATTATGTGATGTCATAGTTTATGACGTCATAATATCTACTTCAAATAAACAGTCTGAAGAATTTCCTTGACAAGATGAAAGTACTCATGACTCGTTGTTGAGATTTTTTCTTTTTATATAATAATTTAGATATATTGGAATAATAGCTTACAAGAAGACCTTTCAAGAAACGATGGGTTCATTTCAGATAATCTTACCCTAGAGGTTGAAAGGAAAGGTCAAGGAGATTCAAAATCTTACAACATCCCAACAGTTGCCAGGGAAACGGAAGATAGCCTTATGTTAGCAGATACTGATGTACAGAAAGTGAGGTCAGGAAAGGGTTCTAACAGATTGGTGGTCCCAGGAAACTCTCAGAAACTCTCGAGTATGTATTCATATTGAAAAGGTTATCATATCATATTTAAATAAATGCCAGCTGGAACTCAATAGAAGCTATTGTGTTGTACTATAATTTATAAATAAAATTCATACTGTATAAAGAAGGTATATGGTATGACTTTTCATTGATAGGTGATTCACTTCCCTATATTTTCAAAAATAATGATTTTTCAAAACTTTTTAAATCTAGCAAAAAAGTTATACTACGGGTATGTGTCATCATAAGCCATAACACTGAAATGATAAAAGATGAATAGTTTTGGTTGTTTGGTTGATTTCAGCATTTTTCAGAATTTTATATGTACTGCTAGTGCAAAAAATGCAAAATTTAATTTTTACCATAGAAATATTAAATCTTATTTTCAGCCTTTTGGCCCAAAAGCCCATTTCCGTCTCACAATAATGTTATCATACAGAATACTAAAGCAGACATCATCTGACTATACATAAAATACTTATTATGATACAGTAGATAAGATGAAGGAGATATATGTATTTTTCTGTTGTTACAAAATCCAATAATGTAGCTAATTTACAAAATCTTTGCTAATATTGTCAGAATTTTCTGAAATTTTAACCGTTTTGTTTCTAGACAGCAGTGATGATCAAACAGATGGCCAACAAACAGACAGAATCAGTGGCTTCAAAAAGACCATTACCAACTTCCTGTCAGGAACAGGGTTATCTCCCTTGGTCATCCCAGTGTGAGTTTTAATTATGGACTTAAGTTGAGGTGAATATGTGGTTATATAGACCTGAGAATATGATATTAACTGAGACAAAGTTATGTTTAACAATACTTTTATCTTTAAAAAAAGATGAAGCATACATGTATGTAAGTTCTACAGTGGAAAGAACTGCATTTGGCCGAGAGCATTGTGATGATACAATTGAAATGACGTCACAGAGTGAATATTGAACTACTGTTTCTGAAGTTAGTTATGCAAATCACAAACCTCTACATAAGTATGATCCAACTATGGAGGATGTAGGAAAAATGTTTTACTACTAAATGTAATTAAGATAGAATATAACGTGTAGATAAGATAGAATATAATGTGTAGATAAGATAGAATATAATGTGTAGATAAGATAGAATATAACATGTAGATAAGATAGAATATAACTTGTAGATAAGATAGAATATAACTTGTAGATTCCCTCCAAGTAAAAGATTCTATAAATGTTTTAAAATCAACCTTATGATAACCTTCATTTCTAACCTCCTATAGTTCATGAAGAGTTGTCTTTCCCTTTTCAGTGTTTGTTTATTTATTCCTTATATTTGATTTAAGATAAGTATCACTATACTGGTCCCTACAGTATTCTGTTTAGACAGGTTCAACTATATTGGTCGCTGTAATGTTTGATTTGTACAAGTTTCACTCTACATATACCTCATTGTAACTTTTTTTTAATTTTTTATTTAAAACAGGTATTCAATACTATTTGAGTCTGAAATATCTCAACATTTTCTTTTACAAAATTGTCCATAAGACCAAATATGGAGACATGTTTGTAATATAGATGTTACATACTATTGCAGTGATGCCAGTGAACATACAGTCCTTCCCTCCTGTTACCGAGTCCCCATTCTGGTGTACGATCAGGAGCCAAGTTCTATCATAGCTTATGCCCTCAGGTAAGTTTATTAAAACAAACTAAAAATAATATATTTCCAATAGTGATGAAGTTATTGTGAAAATTATATTTCTATATTATACTTTCACCTGGCACAGATCCAGTCATAGCCATTCAGAAAAAAAAACACAAATCACAAAGATTAAGAGGGAGATTGACAACAGTTGCAATTAGTACTGGCCCTTCAAAATAAAAGATATTTAAAAAAATAACATGTATACCATGCATTTAGAAGGAGACTGTATATAGAAGATTTGCCTCATTTAGTAATCTTACATGTGAATATGTATCTGAATTCAAATACAACAGAAAATATGAGACATTTTGGTAATAGTCTCCATTCTTCTTAAATAAAACTTATTCAAATCAGATCTACACAAAGGAAATCTTTTGTTGCCTTATTTGCAGTTGTCATGACTACCACCAGAAACTTCAGGAGATCCAGACAACGATTGGCTCATCACAAAGAGAGGCATCTTCTCAGAGGTACAACAATGCACACATATATAATTATTTCATGTATAGAATCAAACACGAAAAATGATAAAAACACTCAACTTCTTGTTTGTGCATTTTCAGGTTTCTGGTATTGTGGGATCTATTTTTCACACAGTTTTTCTGCATAATTACACGTTCCAACACACTGATGAAATGTTTTCAGCTGTATTTGTTATATTTTGTGTGGGGAATTTTATTTTTGTGTTGGAAAATAAAAGCTTGGAAATCAGATTTCCATAAAATAACAACTTTTACAGCCATTGTTGGATGGTAATACATGTAGATTTGTCAAGACAAAGTTAATATATAATAGTTTCAAAATAAACTTTACATCATTATCTGTCTCTTCAAAATCCTCCAGGTACATGTTTAATAATAATTCCTCTTCATTATTTCACAGCATCTACAAAGGAAGTAAATCTGGAGACACAGATTCTGTTGCCTCGGACAATGATAAAGGTACACTTGATAGACTTGAGTTTTGTCCTCCTTACATTATAATGGGGATTGTAATGGAATCAGGGGGTCTGTCTGTCATTTAGGTTTTTGTCAACACAAAATTGTCTATAGGTACTTCTTCCATAATTCTTTGCTGACTGTAATCAAACTTTGTAAATATAATCATTTCATACAATATGAACTTTGTGCACTTTTCAATCCATTGATGTGGAAGTGTCTGTTTTCTAACCATATTTCTAACTGTGGTCCAAGACATAGTGAACATGTCACTTAAGCATCAACCTTTATAACATCAGCTTCCTCTAAGAACATGATAACTTAAACATTGTATTGGAAAATTTGACATGAAAGTTGAAACGTTTACATTTGTTATGATGATTAATCTTACAATATTTGCAGTTGGGTATTCCTATTAACAATTACAGCTGTCTGAATATAAAAATTATTGCTTAGATATCCTCTGGAGACTAGCTTCCAGCGAAAAAACTGGAGTGAATCTAGATAAATGATATAGAATTTCTGTTTAATTTTGTTTTATTCAATTTAATTTGAAACTGATGAATAAGAGAAGTAACTACAATGATGATGAATCTATGTTGTTATTAACATAGGGACACGTAAAGGAGGATCTGCGATGCTGGCATTTCTACGGGGAGGGAGTAAGGAGGCCAGTCCTGTGTTACCAAGGAAACTTATGGATAATGCTGCCATGGATTCTGTCAAGTATACTCCGAAGTTAGATTCTGATAGTATAGAAATTGGTAAGTTTTCCTTTATATAAGCCTGGCATTAATGCTTCTGTAACTGTCAAAATATTCACAGACTTTCAAAAAATCCTACTGTAAATTTTGATTGGTCCTTAAAAGATTTCTACAGTTTCTGAATTCCTACCATAAACTTTCATCAATCCTGTAAATATTTAAACAGTCACAAAATTCCTACTGTAAACTTTCATTGGTACTGAAAAGATTTATACAGCCACTGAATTCCTACTGTAAACTTTTATTAATCCTGTAAATATCTATACAGCCACTGAATTCCTACTGTAAACTTTCATTGATCCTGTGAATATTTATACAGTCACATACTCTATCTGGCTTTAAGATGAAGAAATATCTGACAAGACTTTTCTCTTTTGCCATGCTGCAACAACATTACTAAACAGTGACTGTAGTGACGCTTAGATCAATCAAATCCTGTAAAGGTGTTCACAGCTTGTACTTAACCCTGTTTATTATGCTGAGCAGAGGAGGAGCGGGCTTTCCTGATGTCCACTTCGCTTTCGCTAGGGGGAGCTGACTCTGACAAGTCAAAGGGAGGCAAGCAGTCGACAAGTCCACACCTAGAACTACGTAAGGATTGGCTTCAGGCTGACATAGCTTCCTGTTTCTCAAATGCATATCTTTTCTTTTTCAATTTCTGTTGTTTATTTTATTGCTATGGAATAATCTCAAATAATATTTTATAACATTTATACACATTTTGTGAATCTTTGCCAGATCACACTTTATATAAACTTTGATTTAATATTTAGATCCCTGAATCAAAGATGCCATGCCTATAGAAATCATGGTGCCCATCTGTCTGTCTAGCAGACTTTTGTTTCCAGAGATTTTTACAGGATTCAGAAGTCTCCAATTTCTAAAATGTTACATGGTGATGCACTGTATTATGTAAATGTGCAATAGGTGTTTAAAAAGTTCTTAAGGACAAAGACGCTGTTACTTAAAATAGATATACTGTCAAACAAATATAATTGGGATCCTGAAATCTAGTTGTTTCTTCTGTTCAATATAACATTGTACTTCCATTAATATGATGCGTACAATATAACTTTTGAATATGACATACTGATCCTGTTAACTACAACATACTGCATTTACTTTCAGAATTCTCAGACCAGACGGCACGTTTCTACTGTAAAGTGTATTTTGCAGAGCAGTTTCAGCAGCTGAGGAAGCTCATTTTCCCTGCTGGGGAAGACATGTGAGTATAGAAGGGCAAGGTTATATATAGTACATACTACATACGGTAAGTAAAGGAAGTCATGGTCACATTAGAATGTCACCATAGAAGGTCAAGGTCACCGAGAGGTTTGTAAGTATAGGTCAAGTTCAAAGGAGGACGTCGGTATACACCAGAAAATTAATTTATTCAATCAAGATAACTTGGCAACTATATTATAGTATTTCAATGTATTATCACAGGTTCATCCGATCGCTGAGTAGGTGCAAAGTTTGGGAGGCAAAGGGAGGTAAATCTGGATCTGCCTTCAGTAAAACTGACGGTAAGTCATACATTATAAGATCAACACCATATCATTACCATTTGGTTTAAAATGGGAGACATGATTTCATTCTAAAATTTCTCTCCTAAAGGGCCTGTCAAACACTACCGATGTACCTCGTCGGGACTAAACTGGTGCAAAAATTAACAACAGCGAGAAAATCGTCAGAGCTCTGGCGAGGAAGTACTTGAAAAATCAAAATTGACTGTAGCAACACCAATGTAGTACCGGCATTCCCATTGTGATACCGATGTTCTACCGTTGTTCTACCGTTGTTCTACCGATGTAAGAGCCGATGTGCTACCAAAAACACTTTTCTGACACCTCAGTGTTACCGATGCGCCGCCGATGTTATACCGAGGCGCCAGAGCTATAGCAGAGTGATACAGTTGCACTGCCGATATTACAGTAGTACATCGGCGGCGCATCATTACTACAATTTCGGTGGTATTCGGTAGTACTATAGTATCACATCGGTACCAGTACAGTACATATGGAGACCACTGGAGAGCTGTGGATCCATTACGGGGTGCTACCGGTGCTCTACCGACATTAACGAAGCTCTACCAGAGTACTGTCAATGTACTGCTGTATAGTCCCATTGCTTGTTCCGGCAGCGCAACGGCGGACATTTTTGAGCATGTTCAAACATTTCTACCGTCGCCTGCCGTTGCCAATTTTTTTGCTGATGTTCTGATGATGTCCTGACGATGAACTACTGTTCTTAGTGGTGTGATACCCTTGCGCTGCCGTACTAGTAGCGATCCCCGAAAATCGCTAAATTTCTGGTCCGGTATAGCTCCGGCCAAATCGGCTAGGTGTGGCAGGCCCTTTATATAATTATATTGAAACTGATGTCCAGATATGAGTATCTAGTTCTTTGTATGGTGTCCTGACGATTTCATACATTTATGAAGTGTAAAATATCATTCAAATACTTGTGCAGGTTTGCTAACTTACATGATACCATTCTCATATTTAGAAATGATTCTATGTAAAGTTTGTGTGAAGTTAACTCCTTCATTTTTGTGCTATTTCAGAATCTACAACTTATAATACGATGCTATTTTATCACAAACCATCCTCGATACTCCAGAGGTTATGCTCATTTTTCACTCTCTGCACCTCTGAAATATATGTCATAGCAAAATTGTACGCACTTGGCTAGCTATTTGATTGGTCTCATGTAAAAAAAATCCTGACCAATTGCTGGGCTGATACCTGGGCCTTTGACGATTACAAGTTTCAAGTTTATTGGTTTCCTCAGATACATTACAATGTACAACATGAGGTACAGAGGAATGACACCAAGCTTCAAAGCCAGTCAATATTACTGTTACCAAATGATTCTTTTGATGTACATCATAGGATCAGACTAGTCTTCTCAAATCATCCACAAAGTGGCGCACTGTGACGGAGCCTTCAATTTTGCTATAACATATTCCAGGGGGTGCAGATAGCCAAAGTGAGCATAACCCCTTGGGTATCAAGGATGATGGCAAACCAGACCTTTGTTATCTTTTGGTCATTTGTGTCCTCAGTGAATTTAACTAGATGTATTGTGATGCGTACCGTATTGTGAAGTCAATACTGTATAATGGAAGATGTCTACCACTGTTTCATCTTCTTCCAGATGATAGATTTATCCTAAAGCAGATGTCTGGAATAGAGGTTGACATATTTGAAAAATTTGGACCAGAATACTTCCAGCATATCAGCAAGTGTTACATGGAGCAGGTATGTTTCTGTACAGGAATTATTAATGTTCTCTGGGATTCTAATGTAAAAAAGGAGATTTTCCTCATATTGATTCTACCATCTATGGTTCAGAGAGGAACTTTTTCCTTAAGGCCAATGAATATGCTGCTTAGTATATCTATCACACACTGTATCAATGCCATCATAGGGAATCAGTTTTGTGCAAATTCAGTAAATGCAAAATTAGCAGAAACATTTCAACGATAACAAATTAAAGTTTAACCAAAAAAGTACTGCAATGTATTCAATGCTTCTGTTGTATCCTAGTATATATTGCAATTAATTATTGTTAATTATGATTAGCTGATTTTATCTTGAATGTCATACAAGAATAAAATGATTTTCTATTTCAAAGCAATGCTAGCAGAAAATTTGAGACTCTTTCAAAGCAATGCTAGAGGAAATCTTTGAGATTCTTATAATCAATTTTAATCTGTTATAAAATGAACACAAGTGCAGATATTTTTATCCACATTACCAAGAATGTGTTTGAATACTTGGAAGTATCCTGTTTTCTTGCACCATTGTGAAGTTTTTAATGTTACCATTTTGATTCCCTGTCTGTTGTTTAACTCTTGATATCACAGTGAGTGTGTTACATGATGTTATACAAAAAAGGTATAATATGGGCTGGGCTGTATTCACTGCTTAACACAGCCATCAAATGTCTTCACTAGATTCATCGGTTCGGAAATATGTATCAAAGCTTGGCTTTATGTTAATGACACTTTTGATACGGACATTGTTCGTGTATAAAGTAAAGCTTTGATACATACACTCATCATTGGATAATCGAGATCAGAATAAACGTCATGTCTGGCTTTGTAATCCAGTTATTTAACTCTGTTCAATATGATCCTTTTGGTTTGTAGAAGCCAACAGCTTTGGCGAAGATTGTTGGCGTCTACAGAATTGGATTTCGTAACACGCATACTAACCGGGCCCTGAAACAGGATGTGTTGATCATGGAGAACCTGTTCTATAACAGAAAGATCTCTCAGGTAAATCCACGCTAGCTATCATTGGTTCGATCCACAGTGGAAGCACACTACTCTCTTTCCTGTCTCACAGTATGGTATCAAAGTTATGATCTGTAAAGTACTGTATATGGGCAGATAACTCTGTGAGCAAATTGTTTAACTTACAGAAAATCATTGAACATTGATATAAGTTTCTGTAGCTGTGAAGGTAACAAATCAGTGAATTTCTACAACACATAATGACACCACTATATATATGACTTTGATATGTGTATTCTCATTTGCAGACATTTGATCTGAAGGGCTCCAACAGGAATCGTCTTGTAAACACCTCAGGGAAACGTGAGGAGGAAGTCGTATTACTCGACGAAAATCTCATGAAATGTAAGTAAAAGATACAGATTCATGTGCCTTACAAATTCTTTGTTTTGGATTTAGTGTCCTTGAAACAGCCAAGGTCATATATAGACATGTGCTGGAGAAGACACCACTCATGTACCTGACAAATATAAGGAATTTAGGGACAGTCATTGAAACCAGTTAATTCAGGCTTGGAACAAAAAATCTTATAACCATCATAAAATATTTCACATTTACACCCACACATTGCAAAACATAGCATAACACACTGAAACAATGATAAAAACTTCGCCAAATTCCTGCATGATTTGTCATTCTAAAACTTTTGTAACATCAGCATTTGATTGTGTTTAAACATATTGTTTACAAACATAAATAGGCAAATGTTGTTCAAATTATTTCGTAGAAATTCTAAATATGTTAACACATACAATATTTTGATCTGTTTCCAGTGAGTGTTGAGTCGCCGTTGTATGTATACCCTCACTCTAAGATGGTGTTAACTACAGCTATCAGACAAGACTCGGAGTTCTTGTCGGCAAACCTGGTTATGGATTATTCTTTGCTGGTCGGACTGGACGAGAAACGAAACGAACTAGTCGTTGGTATCATAGGTAGGTCACAATGTTGACAGAAAAATATTTCTCCAAAAATTTGAATGGCTTTATAATTATTTGTCATACTGCCGAGTTTCAAATGAGTTATAATCATTACCTTGTGATGAGGTCAATTGGTTGTTTTATCAACCTGTGAAAAGGATAATAGTAAAGTCAGATGATGTGAACTTAAGGAATCTTCAGGAAAAACAGAGGGGAAAAAATAAAAAATAAATGATAATAGATAATAACCATGCTTTTTGTCTGTTAGTTTACATAAACAGTTATCTTTTATTATTTCAGATTACATCAGGACCTTCACCTGGGACAAGAAACTTGAGACATTGATAAAATCTACCGGAGGTAAACTACATATGCATAATATTGTAATAGTAGTATTTTATTGGGTCCGTAGTCACCCATTTTTGTCATTGCTGTTACAGATTTTTTTTCAATTCATTTGTTTATTGAGTAGTTGGTGAAGACTTCTAAAACATGAAATTTCATCCATAAATGATTCTCAGAAATTTTGTTTTTGGAAATATCAAAGGCAATATCTGCTAAAAATTTATACTCTTGTCTCTATTTTGTGAAATTTTAATCCACGTAAATTTGATACTCGCAATTTGAGTAAAAACAGAGGTCTAGATTTACATCCATAACAAAATAAAGGGAGGTTATTGTACTATAGCAAAATTTTGCCTACAATATGGAACAGGGCTCCTTTTAAAAAAGTATCTCTGTTAATTCATTGTAGGAAAGATGCCCACAGTGGTCTCCCCTGAAATATACCGGACACGCTTCATGGAGGCCATGGGACGCTACTTCCTGCCTGTCCCCGATCAGTGGAATGGACTAGGCAGGGACACAGAATTATGACCATTGTTTAATGACTAGTGACATCATTATTTTTAATCTGAATTTCCAGTTATAATGTTGTTGATTCTAGAGAAAAACACAAACTCAGGTGTTACATGTTTGCTGGACAAGCGTACTGTTTCACATAGTAATTCATTAACATTGATGTGAAGTTCATAGAATTCCAAACTGACCAAATCAACCAGGAATTCCTATTGTAGTACAGTGTTTTTGTTTACTTAGGTATCCTTTGAAGGAGGGTTTGCTTAAGGAAGTTGGATAAGAAATAATTGGTGGCCATCCATCCATTGATTACTAAGGCATATTACTGGGAAACTTCCACCAGTCAAATATTCACCCTCCACCTGTAACATTCATATTTGTCCAGTGTGGAGTTTGCCTTCTTATGTTAATACTGAATTTGGTGATATTTTAATTCGTCCTTATTGCCCTCCAACCGAGATCAAAGATAGCTGCCATTGTGATAAAATACAGCAACAACAACAACAATGCGTAGGAATACAAAATTGTTTATCGTGATTATGCTGTCAATTTTTTTTAATTTTGACCAATCAAAAAGTGTGTTACAAACAGCATAAATCAGAATGCTGGTACATAGTCTTTGATGATATGATTTAGAACAATATCACTGTCACAGAAACTGACAACGGAGAACTATGTTACCTTCGGTACAGAGACTTCAGTCATAACCTTAAGAACAAGTCTTACAGACTGATGAAGTCAATGACAGTGAGCATGGTAATTTGATAACTGAAGCATTGTCAGATATAATTCTGGAACATGTGACCCTAATTTTTTGGGTTCCGGTCCAATCACAGTAATTCAGACTTATGGTTTATGGGTATAGGGGCACAACAATCAGACACATCTGGGAATGCCATATAAAAGTAAGCACAAGGAGACATTTTTTAATAACATTCATTATCAGAGTCCGACATTACAGACATTTCACTCTAAGTGAGTTTCAGTATTTTTTGGTATTTAAAGTGAGTTGATAAATAGATGACCAACTCGATGATTGAATTATTGTTCTTCCCAATAGATGATAATTAGATACGCCCACAAAATGGGGAGCATATTGGACCACACCATGTTATGACAGTGTCTATTTGTCTGTCCATCCGTCCTTTACATTAACTTGTGGCTGCAACTAGTTTCACAGTTTTAGACCAAATGTGCATGTAATAAAATAAGGAAGCTGCATTAGATGTCACTACACCCTTCCCCTGTGTCAGTCTACCAGCACATTGGACCTGTGACTAAAACCCTACAGCATTCAGTTTGTTGGATGGAGTTCATATAATGGCGCACATTTCATAAAATTGGGATTAAGCGTTACATTCTACCACAGTCATGGGCCTTTCTGATCCCTCCTGCAGACTTAAACCTTATGAAATATGTAACATGGACAAAGGGAGGTCATCTATTAAAGATAAGATGTTGTAAAGAGTTAACAAAAAAGAAAAGCACCTTGTCTTATATTCCTAACTAGTTGAAAAAGTTTATTTTGTTATGATTTGTTGCAAGAATGCACGAGAAGTGATCAAGTTATAACAATAAATTGTATACATCATTTAAAAATAGACTAGAAATTGTTTGCAATTCCATTTGAATATGCCATTGTTGAAAACTTGCCGTACAAATATCAGAATAATTTTCGACCCGTTCCTAAAATTAATACCCTTATAGGCCTCACATACATACATTTCTCTTTCGAAGTTACAGACTGTATCAACATATTGCAAGTGTTCTATGCAGTGTTCCTTTTGTGGGTGTTTACATCATGGAGCTTCATATTCCAATAATACTGTAATAAAGTGCAATGTCTGTTAATTTTAGCCTGGAACTTTATAGTCTAGTTATAATGTGATTATAGAGTGCATTTTTTTTTGTGGATATTGTTGTCCGTCGTAAGATTCTGTTGTCTAATAAGATAGAACTATTGTATATTTTTAGTGGATGTTCATATATGGCCAGCGTCAGTGTCCAGTTTTGTTGTGCCTATGGTGGTATGATTGTAATGCACACCATACATATACTATTGTACATATAAACACTTCTATTATCAAATTACAAAAATTATAACCCACCCAGAATCCTGTAAATGTTCAGCTCACTGTGATGCTAATATTCATGGTTTGTCTTAAAGATATTTAAATGAACATGATGAGAGGTTTGAATTTAAAACTTGGTCCATTGTTGTTAGATACATATCCTATGTATGAGTCTATATATAACATATACTGTGTTTATGAGATTTGTGTTATTTATTTAGTGCTGTCTTATTTATTCTAATTATAGCTCTGTTATGATCATGTGACACAAGAGATATATATGATATGAAATGTTTGAACTACAAAGTTTATATCATACTTTTAATAATATTAACTCATTCACCCCTGAAGACACATTTGAACCCTTCCAATTCAAAGGTTGGAATAGTTCATTGTGAAAATTCAGGGGTGAATGACTTAAACACCCTTTAGTTGACAATTATTGTCAATGAAAACTGGAAATAACAAAAGTGCTATTGAGTTCACAAATACTGTGTGCAATATTTAACATGTGTATGTTGTTTATGATAAATAGAACAGCGATTTTTCACCAAGGATCAGTGGTATTCTGTAAGTCCATTGTAACATCATAATGATAATAAAACCAACAATAAGATCATGGTGTTCATAGCTGATATGATTGCTAAATGAATTCAGTAGGACGATATTTGGATCTTAAATGTTGAGTGTTTTGATCATGACTTGTAAGGTTCGAAAAAAAATGTATGCATATTCTTGTCTATTTATAAAAAATTGCAGTAGAATGGTGTACCGTTTGTTATATCATCTTGTCTGAAATTCAACACTACTTTAGGTGAAGCAAACAGTTAAATATGTTTTTCCAGCCAATGCATGTTAGTGTGATGATAATTGAAATATAACTGCCTGTGTTATTTAATGGCCTTAGGAAGGAAACATTTTATGCAGGGAAGAGTGAATCTGTATGTTTTAGATGATTGGGTGTCCGACAGATATCGTAACTATATATAAATGTATCATTCCACAATGCATATTATTTGACAGATAGCAGAAAGTGATATTCTCCTTTATATGATTATGCATTTTATTTAGTGGGTGGGTGTGGTAGGAGGGAGGTTTGTTTCCAGATTTTCTCCTGTTCAAATGAGGCATCAATACTGTACCGTGCCCATATACAAATGTACTGTGTGAACAGCTTAGGTCAGATTTTGATTTTGGTAAAAGGTGAGTTTTTTGAGGCCTTTGTAAGAAGTAAATCTTAGAGTAAAACGTTTCTGTACATATTGTTAAAATATTTTTTTTAAATGACCATATTTTTTTTTCAAAGATATTTGCAAAGGAAACATATTTTCAATTAAGAAACATACAAAGGGGTTTTACATGTCTGTAAGTTCTCCTATATTATATAATCTGTTTTTATTCAAAATAGTCACATCTATATAAATGAAGCATAGAGAGTTTTAAAAAAATACAATTTTCTTTGACAAAAATGCATTATGCAACTGGTGCAACGTTTTAAAAAAGAATTAGTGGATAGACCCTCAATAGATTTTAAGATTAGCCGATACCAAGCTTTTGAATGTTCACAGAACACAGTTTAAGATGTAACCTCGAGTTATATATCAACTCTTCAACTAAAGAAAGATTATCTCCTGTTCCAATGCTACTCTAAAAAAAAAAGGAATTTGCTTTTTAAGTAAGGGATGTAACCATGTTTTGTAAGGGAGATTATTCTGTTGTGTAAGGGAGATTACTCTGTCGGGAAAGGGAGGTTACTGTCGGGTAAGAGATATTCTGTTGTGTAAGGGAGAACACTCTTTTGTGTAAGAGAGATAACTCTGTTATGAGCGTTGATAGGGATGTGCAATAATGTTGTTTATTGTGCAACTCTAACCTGTAAGGTATTATTTATATGCATTCTGTCTGACAGACATGTTTATGAAACCAAAAATAAAAAATGATAGTCTACTGTTTTTTGTTTTGTGATAGTGTTTGTTATGATTATGAAGCCCAACATTGATGACATATTTATGTCTGCCAATCAATCAGTTGTCATAATAAAAAAGTAAAAATAATGTGCATATGAAGCAATTTTGATTTTATTCAACAAGTATACAGATGGACTTTTTGTTATCGCTTGACACATTATGGACATTATTATTCAAAATTATTCTTTTTATCAAATTTCGCACACGATTTGAGTAACGTAATTGGATTGAATTTGATCTTAACATAAACATTCATCAGTGTTCACTGAAATTTCAGGTGTACATCGTTTTGATATTACGAATGTCTCCAAAGGAAATGACACATTGTAAAGATTCATGTAGATGGTATGTATATATTTCTCCAAAGACATTGTATGAGTTTATTGAAGATGGTCAGCTTTACTGGAAAGACACAGAAGTGGATGTCTCCAAATCCCTGATTTAAGTTAGACAATTTGTTCAACCTTCACCAAAAGTAGGGTGAATTTAAGTCCGAGAATTGCTGTGGAAGGGCAAGGTTGTAAAGATAAACTGATTCAAAACTCATTTATGAATGCAGTTTATTTAAAGAGTTCAACATTATATAATAATATATGCAAATCCCCTTTGCACAACAGTGAAAAGAGATTGTTGATAACTTTTACTGTCACATTTAAGAAGCATAAGTATAAATGGGGGGGGGGGGGAGAATTAACACCAAAAAATACAATCGATGCCAAATATTTGGGGCTGAAATAGGTAAAATGTGTTTTCACCATCTTTACAGACATTAAATGTATTAACTAGTTAATTCCAATTATCTGCAATCAGTCCCAAAAAATGATGTGCATAAATAGGGATCATGGGGAACCTTTATGTGAAATTTGAGAAAGATCCCTGAGTACTTTCTGAGAAGACGGACAGAATGATGATTAATAGAAAACTTTTGAATAGAAACAATCATCAGAGATCAACATAAGGAACTGGAAAAGTCAAATTGAATTATGAGCTCACCTGCCTGAAGGGCAATTGACCTTATGTCATGGTGCTGCATCTGTTGTCCGACCGGTGTCCGTCCGGCGTCGGTCGTCGTCCATCAACTTTTCTTTTAAACAACTTCTTCTGAAGAATAGATAGGCGTAAAGTCTTGATATTTGGTCAGTGGCTTCCTGGGATAGAGCCCAATAAAGTTTGAGAATGAAAATTACCTTGATCTACTTTCAAAGTCACTGTGGTCAAATATGTCAAACGCTTAAAACAACTTCTTCTGAAGAATTAAAAGGAATAGAATCTTCATATTTGGCTGGTGGCTTCCTGGGACAGAGCCCGACAAAGTTTGAGAATGAAAATTACCTTAACCTACTTTCAAGGTCACAGCGGTCAAATATGTCAAACGCTTCAAACAACTTCTTCTGAAGAACTGAAAGGTATAGACTCTTCTTTATAACCACCCATCATCACATTTCAGAGGATACTTTTATCGATCAACTTTCGTATAATGTCAAGAAAGCTCATTTCTGTGCCTACGAGTCCAGTGTTCTATATTTTAAAAAAATCGTGACTTCACATTAAGAACTACATTTTGCATAACGTCGCAAAACACCGTGCAATGTTTGTGCAGGTATCATCAGACCTATGATACCAACTCCTACACAATTGTTATCAATTTAAGGAACTTGTGTTTTGACTTTATTTATGTGGTATTTTCGTTCAGGCATAACAAATTAATCAGTGAAAAATAAAATGTAAAACTACAACCGTTTTTATATGTTAAGATAATTATAGTATATTAATTGTGATTATCGATTGTATTAAGTTTTATTTGCTTCTTTCTATATTGATAGCAAATAAAATTAATAATTTACAAATCAAATTAAAGTGTATATACAAAGCAAGAGAAAGCGGCCACATCATCTGCAACAAGAGATGGACTGGTGGAAATATAACAAAATTCTAGTATTAGACAGAAGATTCCGGGATGACGTTATACACATAAGTATTCTTAGCCAAACACCCAATCACCCTTGCTCAATGTGTGGTGCATACGTCGTTGTGTAGTAGGAGAATAAACTTGTACCTGTGGAATGCTTCCAACCACGAGGACTTTCTCAGATCCGTTATTACACATTTCCACGTCTATGATACCCTTCCGGATCGTATCTGAGACTCTGTATCATAAAAATAATATATAAAAAACATATAGGGATTTAACGGCGTTTTTTTTAATTTTCATGCCGGTATGAACGCAAATCGGTTACATCCACTAGGGCTTCATGTTTTATATGGATGTAACCAATTTGCGTTCATACCGGAGTTCATTTATTTACTGAGTTTTGTTTATGCGTCGTCCTTTAAACGACATAGGCGGAACAACCCTATTGTAATCAAATTGGCGCCAATAATTAAGCGTAGTCATTTGAGTGTTTGACGTAGGGGCATTCTCCATATTAACCGAAGCGAAGCGACAATTAAGACTCTCATTGAACACGGTTAATAGATTTTAACTCACCTGGCTCGAAGGGCCATGTGAGCTTATGCCGTACTTCTTCTGAAGAACTGGTGGACCTAGGGTCATGATATTTGTCCAGTAGGTACCTGGGATGGAGTGCTATAAATATTCCTCATTAAAATGACTTTTTCCTACTTCAAGGTCACAGGGGTCAAATATGTTAAAAACTTCCAACAACAATATCCTTAGAACCATTTAGACTAGAGTCATGATACTTGAGTATGTAGACCAGCAGTGCAAATCGCTTTCTTTATTACAGTAATGAGGTCAAAAGTCAACTTAAAGTGCTAGTCAGGGGTCAAATGTCAACATGAGTTAAAAGCTTTAACAATATTCTTCTCAAGTTCCATAAGGCCCAGGGTCATACTATTTGGCCAGTAGTTTCATGGGATGGAGCGCTATAAATTTTCCTCATTAACACGACCTTTACCTACTTTCAAGGTCACAGGGGTCAAGTATGTTAAAAACTCCAAACAACAATATCCTAAGAACCATTTGGACCAGAGCCATGATACTTGGGTATGTTATGTAAACCAGCTGTGAATCGTTTTCTTTATTACAGTAATGAGGTAAAATGTCAACTTTAAATGTTAGCCGGAGTTAAAAGTCAATGTGGGTTAAAAGTTCTGAAATTAAAATTTCAACTTTCAAACAACAATATATTAAGAAACGTTTAAGAGTTAAAATGTCTTGTGTTCTAGTTACCAAATTTGGTCTGAAGTTACCTATATGTCAGTTTTATGTCAGCCCTCTGGGCCTCTTGTTTCCTTTCATACTCAAATTAAATTCATTTCTGCTGGTAATGTTCATATAGTGGGTTGCAGCGAAAATGTAAATATACTATACTAACGCTTAAACACCCGAAGAAAAGTCGGCGTCGAGCCCGTCGTGA